GTACAGGTTTATGTGTGTGTGTGTGTGTGTGTGTGTGTGTGTGTGTGCATGTTTATGTGGTTTATGAGGACACAAATTTGTATAATAACATGGGTATGACATAGGTATTACAACGAGAAGGTGATTTATGAGGACATTTTCAGTGTCCCCGTAATTCAAAAGGCTTATAAATAATTCAGAATGAGTTTTTTTGAAAATCTAAAAATGCAGAAAGTTTCCTGTAAGGGGTAGGTTTTGGTGTAGGGTTTGTGTAGGGCAATAGAACATACGGTTTGTACAGTATAAAAACCATTACGCCTATGGAGAGTCCCCATAAACCATAAAAACATACCTGTGTGTGTTGAGAAACATTCATGCATATTCTGTGCATGTTCATGGTTATATGCAGTATGTTTCGTGAGTGTGGGTTCTTGTATGTGTTGTGTGAAAGCGGTTTTGTATCTCTTACCACTGAGTCAACGATGAAGCTGCAGGCTATGATCTCTAGTGAGTCTATGATGTTGCTGATGGGCTTGCACTGGGCGATCTCCATTTCCAGCTGCACATACGGAGACAGACATTAGTTTAACTGATTAAGTTGCAGTGTTATATAACAAAGTGCTGCTCTTTTGGACTTTATCTTGTATTAGCATACTCACAGAGTGCTTGACCCACTCCGTATATTGTGAAAAATATCCCACAATGTTCTTAATGAATTTATCAGTCCCCTGTGACATATTAACAACAACACAACAACAAACTGTTAAAACATATACATACAGAGCATTTATAACTGACCTATTAAAATATATATAATATCTTCCCCAGTATTGTTGTAAAAAACTAAACATCTTTAAAACAAGATAAATAATGAAGTTTTTTTTGCAGTCTATGGTTGTATAGATCCAGATTAATAATCAGTAAATTAATGAATTAGATTAATAAATGAAATAAATGTATGTGTACCTGTTTGACCACATGTGAGGCATTGTTAGCGATGAGGTACTCTACTGCCTCGATGGCATTCAAGACATTTGTCACTTTAATCTAGAGGAAAAACCATGAGGAATATCACATAATTATTAACATGATCTATTTATAAATCTATTTGAACACCTTTCCACTTTTGTAACAGTGTGCAAATGTCATTGCATTACACAAATATCAAAAACCAAGAACCATTTATTATATAGAAAGTTTTACATAAAGATTTGTGTGTATTTACTGTACTTACAGGTAGTTCTCTGGATGTTTTCTGAAGCAGTTTAATGCTTTGACTTAGAGTACCCTACAAGAAAAAAAAACAGATTCTATTTAAATAAATATAAAATACTATATAAATCACTTACAATCTGGTCAACCCTCAAAGAGTCACTGGTTTCTTTCATTCTAATTCTTTTAAATCTTTTCAGTAAGTCAGGCTCAAGTGTGCTCTTTTGAACCCATTTCTTAAGTCACCGAATTACAGTTGCTGAAAAATCACACAGAACAAACACAATGAGCCAAAAAGAGGACACCTACACAAACTTGCAAACACAAACATTTACAGAACACATCTGAACTACTAAAGTGGTCCACATTTACTAAAACACAGTTTTCAAAAGAACATTCATTTTTTGGATGATCACATCACAGTACCAACTGTTGGCTTACCCTTGCTTTCACAAATTTCTTTGGTTCCATTAAAAAAAAGAATAAAGAATAAAGCTTAGAATAAAATTTCCTGTGTCCTCGTAAATAAAACAGCTTGAAAACATACTAAAAAAGTTTTCTATGGGGGTTATGTTTAGGGGTGGGGTTAAGGGATAGTAAATATGACTAGTTCAGTATAAAAACAATTATGCCTATGGAGAATCCCCGTAAACCATATATATGCCAGTTTGTGTGTGTTTGTTTTTGTACCTACAGTATTAACCATATTTTGGATACAAAGTTGTACCCAGAAATTAGCTACCCCTTACAAAACCTCCTTTTGGGGACATCATCATATATAAAAATGGTATAAAAATAAAGTAAATACTTTTTTACATTGTAAAGTTTTCTGTTAGATTTAGGTTATAGTATTTATAACTAGCTGTATTTAAAAAACAGAAGTGTGTGTGTGTGTGTGTGTGTTTACCATAGCCTGTTCCATTGGCACCACTTTTTCTTTGTGGATTTGTCTTATACTGCTGGCATGACCCTTAAGCGCATTCTCAAGAGCCCCTCGTGGCTGAGAAAAAGATAGAGAGAAAGAAATAGAATTGTCCTTCCATAAAAACACATTAAAATCACTTTCACTTGTTTCCTTAATTTGTCCAATAACAAATTCAGCAGTGGACATACATGCATCACAAGAGAATTAAGATCTGTCACTTTTGTATTTTATTTTCTGAAAGTCAGAAACATTTTTACCACATCTTTAACAGCAATGCACATTGGAAATTTGAAACATTTTGGGAATAAATTGCAAGATGAAATAATCTAAGGCTAATTTCAGAGCTAGAATGTTATTAACCCTAAACAAATACAATTAAATTGTTTTTTAATTATTGCAATATTGTTGGTCAATATGGAAATGGGACTAAAACTGTTGCAGCTGTATTTCTGCGAATTTCTGCAAATTGATAAAAATAATTTTAATTCAGTAAATATTGAAATGTTTAATTTATTCACTCTTTGTGTAGATTATATATGAATGGTTTTAAAATTTGTATAATTAATTTTTACATTTTAAGATTTAATGGCTGGGTCTGGGTCATACTCCTACTTGAAAAGGCAAAGACTTACAATAATAAAGGTAGAATTTGACTTATTTAACTGCAATATTAACAAACAGGCTCACGTCTCAGACCAACATTGCTGTAAAAGACCCTCAGTCATATTCCCATAAGCACATACACACATTGCAGCTCCACACATCCTGTAGCGGTGTGTTTTCCCCTCATGAATGAAGTGCTTGTGTCCCTCTACACTGGAGGGGAGATCACTATAAAAAGGTTCAAAATGTTCCAGAGACTGGCCTCTTAGTTTGATACACACAGTAAATAATACCTAACCTAATGTCTTCAAATATTACACATGAAGTGGCTGGAATCATTACTAACTGAAAGTGATTTGTATTTGACTCACCAGTTGGTCTGCTTGAGCTTCAAGTTCATTTGCATAGGACAAAAGATCCACAACTGTCACTCCTTTATTCACCTGTCAAACAAATCATTCTCATTAAAATGTCTTGTGTTGTTGTGTCTGTAAGTGTCTGTGAGAGTGTGTTGGTTACCTCAGTTAGATAAGCCTGATAGTCGATATCTCCAATGCCTGTGTTGGCAAAGTCAATGAGGTTATCTTTGCCCTCCTGTTCCAGAAGAAACATCCCCTGGAGATCCACATTCACACTGTTAAATATCTTGGTCAGTTCCGGGTTATACTGTTAAGAAATCACAAACACATGGTTAAAGAATTGATGTCATGCTCAGTATGTAGGTATACACAAAAGTATATTAAATGCTTTTTGTCTTTCTTAAATCCGCTCACGCACCACTGTGGCATTGAGAAACTTGTTGAAGTTGAACTTAGTCTCCAGTTGTAGTGCAGAATATAAACCATTATTCTCATAACAATCTCTAAAAGCAGGAAAAAAAGTAAAAAAAGAGAATGAACACATCTTCTCACAGAGTAAACAGCCTTCTGTGTCGAATTAATTATTTATTCATGTCATTCCAAAATCATAAGATGAAACTTTGGTTTACCTTAATAACACAAATTAGGGTATGTTTAATGAAACCTAAGAGAATTCCGTTCCTCCACTGAAAGTTAACCAAAACAGAAGACTTGGATTAAACCACATATTGTCATTATTAACTTTTTGAAGTGTCAAAGTTTTAGTGTAATGGACTTTCAGTGGAAGAACAGAAATCTCTCTGGTTTCATTATAAATAGTATCTTCATTTGTATTTTGAAGAAAGTCTTAAGGGTTTGGAATGACATGAGGGCATGTAACTGATGACAGAATAGCTCTTCAAGATTAACTACTTGTAACTGATCTTTAGCATTGATCTTTGCTCACACACTTACCTGTACATACTGCCAATAGTAAGGTCGATGTTTGGGTCTTGAAACAGCATACCAGGAAGGAAGTTCTTTTTGGCAGGATGTACCATATATGGTGTGTCGATGATCTGAACAGCATTTTTTTTTTAAAAACACAAATTTATGTGTCAAAAAGTTCATTTTCCATATGCTAATCATAAAGATTGGAGATGGTAATTCTGTCATGATTTACAAAAAATCCATTTACACATTTGTGTTGTTGCAAACGTGTATGACACCCGCTCACTACATGGACTCTCACACTACACAGACTGTTACACTATACCCTGGACTACATTTCCCATCATCCATTGCACTGATTACACACAGCTGTAACCAATCACACACTCACCTGAAAGCTATTACACACACTATATAAATCAGTCTCACACCACCATTCACTGCCGAGTATTGTTTAGCGTTTATCACTGTTTAGTTGATAGCTACTTTACGGAGCCTGCTCTATCTTTCCCAGTTTATTCATAGTCTTGCCTTGCCTGTTTTTCCCGTGTTTTGATTCTCGCCTGTGTATTTCGGATTACCCCCTTCGTCTTCTTTTAATAAAAAGCTTGCATATGGATCTGCACGTCTCTCGTCTGCTCCGTTACAACTTGCTAAAATTCATGTATATAACATAAGCCACAAGTAGGATCTTCTAAATGTATTTGAGGTCAGACTCCGAAGTGTTTGTATGTAAATGCTTTGCTATCTATGATCTGAAACTAACCCAGATTTACTTATGAACTACCAACCCCCATTTTTAAACTTTTGCTTAAGCACACACACACAAACACAAACACACACACGGGGGAAGTCGTGGCCTAATGGTTAGAGAGTCGGACTCGTAACCCAAAGGTTGCGGGTTTGAGTCTCGTACCGGCAGGGATTGTAGGTGGGGGGAGTGAATGTACAGCACTCTCTCCCACCACTCTCAGTCATACCACGACTGAGGTGCCCTTGAGCAAGGCACCGAACCCCCAACTGCTCCCCGGGCGCCGCAGCATAAATGGCTGCCCACTGCTCCGGGTGTGTGTTCACGGTGTGTGTGTGTTCACTGCTGTGTGTGTGCACTAAGGATGGGTTAAATGCTTGGCCACATGTCACTTCACTTCACTTCACACACACACAACCCAAGCTTAACCACAGTTTAACATAAATACAAGGACTCTAGTGTTGTGAGTAATTTAAGAATATACTGGTCTGTTTCTCTTCTCCCTTCCAAAAAAACTACACCGAGTTTGTGCTTACATCTGTAATTACAAGTGGGCAAGAAGTAACCCAAGATAGCTGATTTACTTATGTATAGTTTTTTTTTTTTTGTAAATATAAGCTGTTATCTACTGTTAAACACAAAATCAAATTGTTGTTTCTTATTATAGAGTAGTGAACCAGTACCTTAAAAATCTGTCTGTTAGCCAGCGGCTCACACACAAGCTTCTCTATGTTTCCCCCAACAACAAATGTGGTGACGACAACTCCCATGAGCACCCAGGAGAAGATGAAACTGAAGCCAACAGAACTGACCATCAAGACAACCAAACAAAAAGAATGCAAAAGAATTTTAGTATCTAACTTTAACTATCATCAAATATATATTTTATAAGCACTTTGTGGCAAGGTATTGTGTTATTGTATACAGTATATGTTGTTTTGGTGTTGTCATTGTAACTCACGCCATCAGTAGGTTTCCTCCGGTGTTGGACAGACAGCCACGTGTTGTGGGTGTAGCATTTTTATCATAGCCACATGATCCACACAGCAGACCCAGGAAATTAAAGGCCAGAACCAACACAACCATACAGCAAAACACCACACACCCTATCCATCTAAAGACACAAACACAAAGATAAAGACATACTGAGCGAAGGTGAGAGTGTACACTGCATTGGTCTACAAATATTTAGTTTGTTGTCAGTCATTTATTTTTACAGAAATTAATAATTTTATTCAGCAAGGATGCATTAAATTGATCAAAATTGACAGTACAGACATTTATAATGTTACAAAAGATTTCAATTTCAAATAAATGCATAAAAATGTCCTGAAAACAAAAAAATGTATCATGGTTTTCACCAAAATATTACAGTTTTTTTCAGCTGCTTACACACATTTTCAAAACTTTGCCTCTTTTTTCAAAACTTTACACACAAATCCAAAAATTGCACACACAAAATGCAAAATGCCTCACATATCTTGCCAAATGAAGCACTGCATTCAAAATATCACAAACACATCTCAAAAGCAAACATATACAAACACCTTTGCCATAATATTAATTCCTGTTACACAGAAAATTATGTTGTATTTTGCAAAAAGTGTTTTATGAAATAAAATCTGAGTCTGAGAATTAGCGTATGGTTTTGCAGATTTGGTGTGTGGTTCTGGTGTTTGAGTGTCAGGTTTCAGAAACCATGTGACAAGTAAAGATTTTGTGTGTAAGCAGCAGTTGAAATAAACTGTAAGCAGCACAATTATTTTCAACATTGATAATAATAAGAAATGTTGCTTGAGCACCAGATAAACATATTCAAGCATGTTAGAATATTTCAATATAACCATTATTAACAATATTTTTACTGTGTTTTTGGATCAAATAAATGTAGCTTGGGTGAGCATATCATATTTTTTTCAAAAACATTTTGATCGGTATTGCATAAATATTTTGCACTTTTAAATATGTCATTAATAATCAGGGCAGCGTTTCCCAAAAGAATCCTAAGCTTAAGTATATTGTAGACCCATTGAAACCAATGGACCTACAATCAACTTAGGCTTACGATGCTTTTGGGAAACGCAGCCCAGTTCAGTTTGGTTCTGCACATGCTATTAGCATTAATGTAAATTTATTTGTCACTACTAGAATTTTCTAGCAGCATTTGGTTGTCACTCCCGTCAATAACATCCCAGAAAAAGAGTTTACAGAAGTACCTGTAGAAGTCCAGCTGGTCGATCTGTGGATAGTACGCTTCAATGTTCTTCTGGCTCTCCGTCAGGAACTTTGTGAAGTTCTCAAGTGCTGGTTCTAACGGGAACATCTTTGTGAAGCCAATTATCTCTCCACCAGACTTATCGAGCAGCCCTTTCACTTCTTCAACAGATAAAGAAAGACAAAGTGAATATGTGTTTGTGAATATGGAGGGATACTCTGTTGTACATAGTTGAGGAAAACTTACTGGGTAGAGCTTCATTTTTAAAGAGAGACAGATGGGTTGCCGTATGCACAAGGACAGATATGAGAACAACAGCAGAATCATATTCAATGTTTTTCTGTGTTTTCTTTAGTTACAGAGAACAAATTAGGTTAGCATGGAGAAAGAGAACAAAGAAAGCTGTAGGCCTAATAATAGTACCAACAGATGCTCTGTTGCAATGGGTTTATGAAGGCAGCACATTAAGGCATCATAGGCAATATTCCCTATGTAGGCAGCGAAGCAGCACAACAGGTTTTGGGACAGAGCTAGACAGATGTATAAAGAGAATGCCCTCACCCGACACAATTTCTTTTGTCTGTTCGCTGACCAACCTTGGTGTGTCATTAAAGGAAGAGTAGCCCTAAAGAGATAAACAAAAAGAAAAGGAGGTGAAAACTGTCACAGTACATTACAGGAGACTTAAAGATGGTGCATGATAAAGATAGACCCATCTGACCTTCTGTACAATATTGCTGAGGTCTGTTTTAAGCACAGCATCCAGACTGGCCAAAGGTGCCTCAACATCAGGCAACTATTGGATGACACACAGAAGTTACAATTAAACCACACAGATTTTTGTCCAATCAAAAGCTCTCTTGAATGACAATGCCCTTTCCATTAGTACCACCTGCAACTGTCTAGCAAGTCAGCCAATCATTGATCATGACTGTAAAGTAATTAAAGCTTACTGGCATTTCAATTTGGCATTAAGCACAAATTGCAATGAACTTTTCTTCCCTATGATTACATATATCTAAGTGAAATGGCTTAGACTTAGACTTTAAAGGGGTCATGACATGGATTTTATTATTTTAATATGTTCCTTAAGGTTTACTTATAATGTTAAAAAAACAAATAAATATGTGGAACAATGATTTTCAACCCTCATTCTGACCTTCTCTCTAAAACGACCTGTTTTAAGGGGCGGGTCCTTTAAGGCTGGTCAGTAATCAGCCACTGTTATGATTGGCTAATGTCATTTAAGCTATGAAATTTGCAGGATGTATTAAACATACAAAGACCTATTCTATGTCAAAAGATCAAGGGAAATTTGGTTTCTCATGTCATGACCCTTTTAACAACAAAAAAAAAAAGTTTATGTGACAGGACTTGATTTTGACAATCGAGAATGTGGGGATGTTCATCACTGAAATTAAAATTCATGTTTAGGGTTAGAAGTTAAGATGGCAACACTTTACCTAACAATACCTAACATTAACCAACAAGGAGCAGTAATTTTCTTAAAGTATTTATTCATCTTTGTTACTGTTAGTTAATAAAAAGAAAACTGTTCATGGTAACACTTTAGAATACTGTTCCGTCATTAATGAATAACTACACAAGAACACATGAGTAACGCAATATTAGCACTCTAGTAACTACTAGTATCTAACAAGAAACTCTGATTAATCAATTAGTAAGTAATAGTGCTTAGTCGAATGTGCTAGGTCACTATTAGCTAATCAGTAACTACTATTTTTCATACCTCCTTAAGAACTACTGTATACAGGTTCATAATTAATATGAATAATACATAATGTATAATCAATTCTAAAGTGAAGGTCATGGTAACCCATTAGTAATGACTCAAGTATTACCAAATTCTTCAGAGGGAATTACTAATTATTTGGATCAGTATTCTACAGTGAATAACGTGATAACTCCCTATAATTACTGAAATCATTCTAAACTTTTGAGGTTTTTGTAAGGTTCTGGTTAGTAATTCATTTTGCTAGATTTGGTAACACTTAAATCATTACTAGCGGGTTACCATGATCTTCACTTTAGAATACTGATCCAAATAATTAGTAGTTTCTTCAGAAGGATGTAGTAACACTTGAGTCATTACTATCCAAAACCTTACAATATCATAACGTTCATTATGCATAATTCACATTAATTATGAACCTGTATACAGTAGTTCTTAGGAGTTCTCCAGGATATATGAAAAAAATAGCAGTTATTGATTAGCTAATAGTGATCTACCAGTTTCAACTGAGCGCTATTAGTTACTAAACCGTTAATCAGAGTTTCTTGTTAGGTAATAGTAGTTACTTACTACAATGTTAATAGTGCATTAGTCATTTGTTCCTGTGTAGTTATTCGTTGACAATGGAATACTATTCTAAAGTGTTACCCTGTTCATTATTAATTCATGTCAGCTCTGGTTCATTAAATAATAACAGATACATCTTTTGATTTTAATAATGTATTAGTAAATGCTTTATAAGTATTTTTAAATATGAAATTATTTTTTAAATACTGTAAGAATGGTTTACGTTTTGTTGTCTCTGCACATAAAACTGAGACAGAATAACAAGAAATATTTCACCTTAAAGTACTGTCTAATAATTGACAGTTTCCTATATACCCTGATACACACATATGTGACCACAAAACCAAATAAGGGTAAATTTTTCGAAATTGAGATTTATACATCATCTGAAAGCTGAATAAATAAGCTTTCCATTGATGCATGGTTTATTAGGATAGGACAATATTTGGCCGAGACACAACTATTTGAAAATCTGGAATCTGAGGGTGAAAAAAAATCAAAATATTGAACCTTTAAAGTTGTCCAAATGAAGTTCTTAGCAATGCATATTACTAATCAAAAATTAAGTTTTAATATATTTACAGTAGGAAATTTACAAAATATCTTCATGGAACATGATCTTTACTTAATATCCTAATGATTTTTGGCATAAAAGAAAAATCAATAATTTTGACCCATACAATGTATTTTTGGCTATTGCTACAAATATACCCCAGCGACTTAAGACTGGTTTTGTGGTCCAGGGTCACATATGTACAATATATATGGGTTGTGGGTTGTGTGTGTGTGTGTGTGTGTCAGTGTTACCCCATGAAAGTTTGCGCTGAGAGCGAGCTGGCTGAGTGTTCCGCGGATGGTATTGCAGGTGTGTGTTACATCTCCATTAGAGCAGGCCGGGTCGTTGAGTGTGTTTGAGAGAGACGCACGTTCAGACTGAAGAGAGTTCTGGAGTCTGCCTGTCCCTTCCTGCATGATCTCCAGTGATGTGGTCACACTCTCTAACGCCTCTTTGGCCTCCCGCATGGCTGCAGTACACACACACAGAGAACACCTTCATTACAACACATGCTCACATGCAAATCATAAATGAACCGTTGGGAGGGATTACACTACTGCAAATACACAACTGATCACAAAATATTTTTACGTATATGCCATTTTCTATATAAATGTGTTTTTGTCTTTCTATTCAGATTTTTCTTTAGCTATTAAGATTCTCATTTCATCATTAAACAAAAACATGATGAAATGCAAAAACAAATATGGCAGCAATGCATAAAGATACACAACAATACTTAAAACAACAACAGGATGCACAACAACCACAATTTCTACGTTCACAAAACGCGTGGGTGAAACCACTGACTTTTACCTTTAATAGCACCCTCCACTTTAACTTTTATCCAAAATCACAATAAACAGAAACAGAAAGGAACAAATTAACATGAATAATATTACCATGAGTGTGTGTTTTGTGGTGTTCCTGTAGCTCAAAAAGTAGAGCATGGTAGTAGCAACATTAAGGTCATGGGTTCAATGAATATTTTAAAAAGTATTCTATTTATTTATTTTGCTTTTGGTAATTTCTCTTTATTATATAATTTATAATAGGTATTTTTGGATTGTTTTTAGGTAATGTTATTTTTAGTTGTCTTTAAATTTGGTTTCTTTTTGTCATTTGCTACCTTCTGGTCCAGGCCTCTCTTGCAATACTTATAGTACTTCTACAATGTGCACATGTGTGAGCAGGACAGTGAAAAACTGTGAAGGTGAACAGTTAGGGTATGACATTTAAGGTTTGTCAGTGTAGTTTGATTTTAGTTTTATTAGATTAAACTATGAAACCCCATTCAAGAATAAGAACGAAGAGAATAAGTAGCTATTGTAAGTAATTAACTTCAAATTGCTCCTTAAATAAGCTGAAATAAAAGGAAATCCAATCCTGTCTCATCTTTATGACTTTAATTGTGACTTTATACCTCAAAATGTGACAATAAATCTCACAAATGTGACTTCTGGTAATTGTGACTATATCCAACAGTTGCTGTTTTATGTCTCGTACTTTATAGCTCACAATGTGAAATTGAACTACTATTTTTTATTCAGGTTATTCAGGATAGCACTGAAATGCCACATGTTAAAAAGTAAGAGCAGTTTGGTGAAGTGTGTGTATTTGATTGGTTTTGCACCTGCTGTCATGCGAAGAGCATTGTCTAAAGCAGGCACCACTTCTCTCTCCAGATGATTATGAATCTGTCCTCCCAGCAGAGTCCCAATATCTGAGAAACCACAATGATAACGAATTAACAATTAGTAAACACAGCTCCAACAAGTACAATGATGCTCAAAAGTTTGCGGTCAGTAAGATTTTTTTTTTTTTATTATTCAAAGAAATTAATAGTTTTATTCAGCAAGAATGCATTAAATTTATCAAAAGTGACAGTGAAGACACTGACATTATTAGAAAAAAATTCTTTCAAATAAATGCTGTTCTTTTGAACTTTCTATTCATCAAAGGATCCTGAAAAAAATGTATCAGTTTCCACAAAAAAAATAACTGTCAACAATGATAATAATAAGAAATGTTTCTTGAGCATCAAACCGACATATTAAAATGACTGGAATAATGGCTGCTGAAGATTAATGTTTGGAATCACAAATATATTTAAACAGTTATTTTGAAGTGTGATCAAATTTCACAATATTACTGTTTCACTGTATTTGCAAAACTCCAACAGACCCCAAACTTTTGAATGTTAGTGAATGTTCACATTGATACATACTGTAACAGAGGAAGAAAGACAGAATACTTACTGTCTAAGTCTGATAATACTTTGTTCTTGGCTGTTATGTACTGTGCAGACAGGTAGTCTATTTGCTATAAAATAAAAGAACAAAAACAAACAGTTTTAGCTTTAGTGTGTGAAAATATGTTCATGTGTGTCTTATGATCAGGCCCACACAGAATCTAAACCCACAAAATCTGCAGATTTGAATTCGTAGCTAATGTGATTAGCTTTTCAGCTAACAATAACAGTCAGTGTAATAGCTTTGTTTACACATTTTATCACTTTTACTCTACCGTCTGAACCTGTTTATGACTTACCGCTGGTGTGTAATTGGCAAAAGATTTCAGGTCTCTTATGTTAGTGCTGACTAAGTGCCTAGTGCTCTTGATCTGATTTGTGATGTTCTGATTTGCTGCACAGGCGACCGTCACTCCCACTCTGTAAACAAAGCAATACACACACATAAATAGTTTAAAGGGGTCATATGATGCGATTTCAATTTTTCCTTTCTCTTTGGAGTGTTACAAGCTCTTGGTGCATAAAGAAGATCTGTAAAGTTGCAAAGACTAAAGTCTCAAATCCAAAGAGATATTCTTTATAAAAGTTAAGATTCAGCCACGTCTACCTAAAACGGCTCGTTCTAACATGCCCCCACATGTCTACGTCACGATGTGGGAAGATTTGCATAACACCGCCCAAATGTTCACGCAAAGAAAGAAGGCGTAACTTTTATTCTCGTTGTAGTATTGTTGCTGCCGCCATGTCGTGGAGACGCTGTGTGTTTCGCTGTGAAAGCGAAACTACTTTGTTTGGCCTTCCAAAAGAGGATGATATCCGCTTCGTCATGCCTAGAGCCTAGAGCTGATCCGTGCTGGTTGCTGAGGAAATACTACAACGTTGCGCTGTGGATCGCCGGATCGGCTTTCAC